GACACCACACCCCACCTCCCCTACAGCCACACGGGGCTGTTCTTCACACCTGCTACCCCACTGTAACCACACACCCGAGAGCACAGTTACCACGTCCACCCCACCGAGAGAGAACTGACCTTTCCAATCGTCTGCACTGTGAAGACCGCTTTCACAGGATCTTTCTGAGAGACCTGGGTCACGAAAGCAAAAATTGGATCAAATGTGCACGCTAAACATTTGTCTGAATTGAAGTTGAAGTTGGCAATTGGGTCTTGATCCTGAAAGCCTTGTTATACAATCTTCTAGTGCTTCTGCACTGGACTTGATGTATAAGATCACAACCTGTGTGCATGTTTTCTAAAATGTGATACTCATTTCTGAGGTGTCTGGAATGAGGCTTCTGTACTCTGCCAGTGTTTTGTGGAGAGAGCAGTGGATTTCTAGGCTCTTACATGAGGCCTATGTCACTGTGATAGTCTGATATCTTTGCTTGAGGGGGGCCCTCTCTAAATAGTTTCAGTGTTTGGAGACAACCTGACGTTTTTAAGTCGGGTAACTACTTCCCTCTGAAAAAAAAACAAAACGCTTGTTTAAGTAGAGTTTGATCGCACCCAGATTTGCAGTTGTGTACATAAGTGCATACAAAGTCTATTTTTTTAAGCAAATTCTGTAGACATTTATTTTCTTTAGCATTTTCTTTCCAGGTACCTTTAAAATCTAAAAGGCTGTATTGATAAAGTGTCAGTATTTCTGTGCACATGTAACTCCTCTGGATGCAGCTGTTAATGTGTGTGGGTTTAGCGTGTTAGTTTTGTGTGAACTACGTTGTGTCCTGTTTCTAGAAAGGAGGAGGGAACTCCTTGGTTCTGAAATTCTGTTTTCATGCAAGATTTAGTTTTTAAATTGCCAATTTCTGGATGCAGCCATTCTTAACTGCTGTTTTGTTTAGTTTTTTGACCACTTATAAAAATAATTTAAGAACTCGGAGTGAAACCATGAAGGTTCTGGTTACAGTCTTTTAGGACCAGAGCTGGTTACACCTGCGTGACTTAAAGAAAATTAACTTTCTTAAGATGACCAGAAATATAACCGCAGCTACACCCTGCCTGTAAACAGGTGACTGAGGGGCCTCTTCAGACAAGCCTGGCCTGGCACCCTATGTCACAGGGCACCAGTAACTCAGGGCTCGGGCTGTAGGCGCTTGAGCTGACGTTCCTGTTTCACACCACGCTTGTCTTCTGTCAGTGCTGTATTTGATTTTAGGGCCAGGGCATTGGTTGATCCTAGTCACCTAGACTTGGTGTCTTGGGGGAAAAAAAACATCAAAAACCATCCAGTTAAAGGTGGTTTAAAAAAGAGCACCTTTATACCCTAGAGGTGTCTAATTAAAATTGAAGATGCGTCTATGGACCTGAACCTAAGACTTCAGATCACTGGCTGCCCTGCAGGTGCCCTGTTTGGCCTCTGTGCCGGAGGGTCTGATGGGCTGGCACGCCGCGCTGGGGACAGTGGACAGCGCATAGTGTCACATGTAGGACCCACAGCAGCGCTGGAGCATTCCACTCCCCCACTCCCCCAAAAAAGTGTTTTGTTTCTGCTCTAACAAAACCTTAATGTTTATATGCAGTTACGATGCTGGATTTCAAGAGAGTGCGGGTTAACATTAATCTGTAATCAGGTGGAACCCAGTCCTGGGCTACACACCCAAGTGGGTTAATGGATTTATGATAATTTCTGAAATCCATTTACCCACTCGTGGGTGTAGCCCAAGACCATTGGTTCCACCTGATTAGAGATTATTGTTAACCCACTATCTCTTATTTTGTAACTTTAATTTTGAGGTTTTTTACCCCCTCAGTGAGCTTGCAGAAAAGACAGTTAATTGCTAGCAACTACTTCTGCACACTGTATTGTTGTGGATTTGATAAGTTAACTTTGACTGATTGATATGGGCCATTTTCCACCCACCTAAAATGGATGTTGTATTGGAGACGGAGATCCAAAGTGCACTACAATAATAGCACAGTAGGCTGTAGTAAGTACAGAAGGTGGCCTTGACAAAGCCCATTTTTTTCTTTTTGCACCCATTTCCATCCAATTTCAGTGTTTAATTTTAGGATTGAAGCTACTTTAAAGATTACTGTAATTTTGTCTAGATGCTGTCAAAAGCTTTAACGTTTGTTCGCGCTGGAGATCAGTGTCTTGCGAGTTTTGATGTGTTTTGATTAAATCCTATTTTACCGAGATCCATTTTGCTGTTGTTGATGGTTGTATGAAAATCCAGTTGTCTGGTGCCGTAGTAAATACAGGAAGTGGCTTGAACTGGCCACTGCCAGGGACTGCTGGGAGCAGAGCTCTTAAGGACAACAGGAGACAGAACAGCCTCTGCTGTACTTCTGCACTCTCTGATCAGTGAAAGGCTCTCGCTTTGGTTTGTAGGCACTGGGAGGGAGGTTAAACACTCATTCCTCTCAAGCCTCTTGTGTAAAATCTGCTTTTAGGAGAATCTGAATGTTTTGAGTGACACTTAAAAAAAAGTTAACTTTAAATGCGTGCCTGGTATCGCTCATTGTTCTGCTTTTTTTTATTAGGAACTTTCAAGCAGGCCAGATTAAATGCATAATATTTGTATAATTCAGCAGATGAAGTGCAATTAACTTGAGCTCAGAAGGACCAAGACCCAAAAGACAGCTCAAAGTTTCTCGAAGACTATATATCCAAGTGGTAGGAAAGCAACAAATTTTAAATTGTCTGAAATTAACTGGAAGATAATACCCTGCTTTTTTCCTTAATTCAGCAAACAGCACTTTCTTCCAGCAGGAACATTCCCTGTTACCTGAAATGTAAGGAATAGAAACTTCCTTATATTTTTGGAGTAGTTAAACCCACCCATACAAAAGACAAAAGCGGCTGTAGTTCTCAAAATGATACCCAGCAAGAAAATCTGAATAAAATCAAAACAAATGCCAGAAAAACGACAAAGACTCGTTTTAGGAAACACATCAACAATTTAATAATTATAATAAAAAAGCTGAAAAATTCCAAAGCATTATCTTTTTTTTTTGTTTTAATTCTCTTGGTACAGAGAAAAGCACCAGTAGCAAAACAGTTGATTTTTTTTTTTTTATCCATAGAAATCCAGGGTCTTTGAAAAGTAGGTTTGTCTCTTATTGCACCTCAGACCTCACCCCTCCATCTACAGTTCAAAGTAAAAACAAAACATCTTGATCCACAGCACAGTTTGCCTCCCACCCACAGAAGGAGAATACAGTCAAGAACATCAGCTGGTAGCTAAGATCTGGTCGAGCCTGGGTATCGGAAAGCGCGTGGGCCTTAGTTTCTCTTCTTTCCCAGGCCCTGGGGAGTTAATTGGCTCAATTATCAGGCTAATTTGGTCACAATTAGCACCCGTTCCAGGCATTAAGAAACTGATGATATAAAAACACTCAACCTGAGGGTCCATGGCTCTCAAGGACCACGAATACCATTTACAAAAGCCTAGGAGAGGGCGAACGGCACCTGTGGTTTCAAGGAGGAAAGGCTGGAAAACTGCCTAGAAGTTTGTAATCTTATCTCTTTCTAGTTCCTGCTTTCCCCTGACACAGAGCTCCTGTGCTGGAAACCTGCCTTGTGTCCAGTATGCGTCTCGGCAGCACGGAGAGGATGCAAGAACAGGGAGGACAGGTGAGGAACGGGGGAGGACAGAGGCGAGGGGTTTCCTTACAGAAGCAGGCAGGTAATACGGCTGCACACATTTCCGTCTCGGGAGTAAAAAGCACCACAAAGTTTTGGATTACTCCTCGAACGCCGTTTGGAGGTATTTGAGCAAGCCTGTGTCCCAGCTGTTGAGCACACGGGCCCAGATTAATACCTCAACCCATATCATCACTGCCTGTGATCTCAAACCCTGTGCGGTGAAAAATACAATAGAAGAGCTCAATTATACCTTTACTATAAAATTACTATGGTAAGATTCAACTGGGATGGGACAAGAATTGTATAAAATGTAGACTTATGGGGAGTTTATCCATTTAAAGGCATTTTTAAAAAATTTACTTAAATAGTTCTATTCATTTGCAGTTATATTTCAACTTCAGAGCTTTGAAACAACAAAAATAGCTTCCTGAGTGACACCTAGCTTAAGCGACTGACGACTGCGATTCTACCAGAGAGAATTAAGCAATTTTCCTTGTATAATCAACGTGATTGAAGAGCACAAACTAAGAAGTGACATAGCAGGCTGCCTATTTACCTTTCCACACAAGCTCTTTACACTTAGACAAGCACCGCACTACTGCACTCTACACACAAGCTGGCTCCTACAGAACAGAGACCTCTCCTGTACATCTACCATCACGTCTTCCACCTGTAGTGTTTCCACAAGGGGGCTCAAAAACAAACCTTGACTTGCTGCATTTGGGATGTTATAGGGGTAAAAAAATACTTTCTACATTATATATATATATTTGAATCTCTGAAAATATCGTGGTTTAAGCAGATGCACTGCTGTAGGTTGTAATCAGAAGCACCATACTTGTCATTACTCCCCACTGTTGCCTTACTAAAGAAAAGCAATTTAGCGGGAAGCAGTCACCTATAAATTAAGGGAGAAAAATGGAACAATCCTCCTGCAGAAGCTCTGACCAGTCCAGCGTCAGCCTTCACGACAGAGAGCCTGGAGTTGTCAGGATTTTAGGTCTGGTCAGTAATGGGAAAAGACAGAAATATAAGAGCTTAAGTTGTTCACTGGAGCTTAACTCAGTTTCTGCAGACTTAAGTGAACTGAAGGAACTAGACAACAAGACTCTTGTTGAACACTAGAAAATGTTGGTGCACATTAATACAGCTGGAGGGGCAGAAGCAGCTGGTGTGCTGAGAAACAGGCTCCCCAGCTTACAACAGCAGTGCCTGCACTGGGGACTCAAACCCGTGATTCTCTGGTGGTTTAAGGTTGAAACAAAATGTCGCTCAGAAGTGTGACAATATTTGATTTAAGGTGTGAATTCTCCAGATGTAATTAGTGAAGTACCACAAGGATCTGTACTTGGACCACTGCTCTTCCTGATTCAGACCAGTGACCTGCATGCCAGTGCAGTTTGCAGATAAGAAGATAAGAAAATTAGCACTGACAACGTAGACAGAATTAAATGGAAACTGAAAAACAAGATTGGACGCATGCCTGACACGTAACATTTAGTTTGGAGAAGTGAAGAGTATTACAAGCACGTTGTAAAAGAAGAATTTATAGATAGCTACAGGCAAAACTAAACATGAAGAGGCAATTTCTAAAAAAAAGTTATGTTGACATTTGCATCTTCTAGACTACATAGAGATGCAATAACATCTAAAGTGTTAGGATAGGTTTTTAAAATCTAAATCAAGGGATGCTAAAATTCTACAATGCACTAGTAAAGGCTCATTTAGATTATGTACACTCGTGGTTGCTGTGTCAGACAAGATATTCCTGCCCTGGAACTAGTCCAGATACATTCTTGGGTTTAAAGGAATGTCCTACACTGACAGGCTAAAAGATATTAGTTTTTTTCTGAAACAGAAACTGATTCAAGTAGACAGAGTTGACCCACTGGATCCATTCAGAATCAGGACTGAAGCAGTGATCAGAGGACAACTGCAAGCTTTGTGAAAGTGTATTCACAATTGAGAACAGGAATATCACACCTCTTCCTCATAAATGGCGTTATGGATATTGACGTAACCAACCATGTTGTTGAAGCCAATATCCTAGCATCTTTCAAGAAATGGATGGATAAGATCCTCAAATTAGTTACTCAGAACCAAACTCCCTGGTCAAATGACTCCTATTGTTTCTAAGCTTTCTAATGTTTATGTAATTAAGCAAGACAAAACCAGCCTGACCTTCAAGGTCTTCCCAGTTTTTAAACCAATTAAATGACCAGTTTTTCAGTTCTTTACTGCCAGTGGCAGTGGGATAGATATTCTGCTGCCGAGTTGAATACAGGTGATCTATGAGATGTTCAGGGATCTAGACTGACTGTAGAAACAGGAGTTTGAATACTCTGGTGAAGAGACTGCTGTTGTACTCTCATGTAAGGTACATTCCCTGTGTTGCTACAGTAAAACCCAGCTGTACAAACTAGTGCCACAAACATATGCAGGACAAACGGGAACTATAACCTGTGTAAGTCAGATAGAATAAAAGGGTCAGTTGAATAAGTTAGTAAAAAATAAATCCCTTTTCAGAAAGGAGTAGACTGTTTAGGTTATTGCAACAGACTTAAAAGCACCTGCAAAACACATTTCTTGTTAATACTTTTCAGTGGGACAAGTAAGGAACCCTGGTATTATTTTTTTTTACATTTGTAAGAAACAGTTACCAGTAAGGAAACAAGTGTTATACAGTTATAGCATTTTCTTTTGGCCAGTAAGACAGACTGGTACCATTAAAGCCATTTAAGGGGCCCAGCAAAGCACCGGATGCTTTAGAAAATCAGTACCCCTTTAACAGAGAAACAAGAAAGAATGAAGACCGCAAACAATGTATCATGCGCAACTTACAGACTCATGAACGAAAACTAGTGTATTCATCCAAAACACTATTTTACTCATGTATATGCACAGAATGATGCTTACAATCAAACACAAACACAATCACACCATAAATAACTCATTTCAACAACCTTAGAAAATTGAACACTTCAGTAAGAAAAAAATTAGATACTAAAAGGCTACATGCAGGGAAGAGTAGGTGCTTTTCGGTTTACCATCGCTGGCTTTAGCTACAGAACTAGATGACAAGGAGGGAAACACTGTTTTAACCACAGCGCAGTCTCATTCACTAACAGCAAGGCCAGGTACAGTGAACACTCCACAAGGGCTCCGAGAAAGACAGAGGTGGGAAATATCTGAATTTGCTGCAGACCGCAGCAACACAACTCCTCCCGCCCAGCAGCACGTAAGTCACCCCTCCCTCCTTCCATGCAGATGCACAAGCGATTAATTTTAAACAGTAAAAATAGAATAAAAAAGGAAAAGTTCTGTATTAAAGTTTATTAAAAGCCTCCCTCTCCCTGACGTGTAAGGAGAGTGAATTTGTAATAATTCATAGCTGCATCTTTCCTTATTTAAAGTGTAGGAGAGCACCTTACTATTTAAGGATATTGAATTTCACCTGGATTTTGAGATCATCATTAAAAACAATACCAAGTACAAACAACTGCAATAATAACACCAACAATAAAACCATAATTGCAATCACAATTAAAAAGATCTTTCAGTGCTGGTCAAAATGAAAAAGGATCGGCTCGTCACGCCATGGTCGGTCTCAAGCCCTAGTCCTCACTTCAGAGCTGGTAAGGAAACAGTTCACACATTCTCACCGCTGACCTGTCCGTCTCCTGAAACAGCATTAACCACCTGTACAGCTCGGGCAAGTCTTATTGCTCCTTGAAGAGGAAATGAAAACCACAATATCACACACACTTCAGCTTATTAAAAAAAAAAAGGTTTTAAAGTAACTATGTTAATCACCTAGCAAGTAAAAATGTTAAACACTTCATATCCCTCCCACATCGCATATAAAGGAACAGCCCAAGAGTATTAAATGCCAAAGCTGACAACTCAAACAAACAAATCTATTTCTAGCTTCCTTATCGCAAATATATGTGTGCTGTTGAACTTGGTGATCACCCAGGATGTCTCACTTTGAGTCCTGAAACTTCCTGCTTGTCCAGGAGAATGGCAGCCCCAGTTCTCCAGATCCAACTGTCCTTCCTGCTCACTCCCAAATACATCTGCAGAGCACACACGCTGAGCCCCTGCAGGCCGTCTTCATCAGCCGGTAGCTGATGTTCCCCTGACCTGCCAACTGTGTCGAACACTTTCACTTCCCAGACTGGACGGCAGGCTCCGTCGGCTCTCCTGTTTCAACACAATCCTATCACAATGCTTATCGCAAAAGACGGACGCGTTTATCACGATGGGCGTTAAACACAACCCTCCGTGCACCTGAGGCAGGGCGCAGATGGGGAAGAGTTCTAAGCCTTTGGCCAGGCACTCAGCTGAGATTCTTAGCTGAGGTCTGGTACGGGCTGGACCTTCTCTGATTCTTCCTTTTTGTGATACAGCACCATTTTTCACAATAGCAGAGAAGACCGTGAGAGCCAGACGTTTTATAAAAATTAAGCTCCAACAAAAAAAAAAGTGTTCTAACTGCAACTTACTTAAAATCCCAAATCTAGAGAAAGTAGCTCAGATTGATCTCTTATTGCTGCACTAGATCACATAGGTTCCTATATGTGCTTTAACACCACTACAGACAACCTACAGATGCTACTGAAACAGACAGATCATTGAGAGGCATGCTATCAATTAAACAGGGGTCCAGGAAGCAGGTGAACAACTAACTACAGCAATACCTAGGCCCAGCTACCCAACGCTACGTACAACTCCCCCTGCCAGCCAGCAGGGGGCGATATTAAACAAGATCGCCAGAAACTTCAAAAGAACCAGGCGTAACGTTGGGGGTTTGCTAGAAAAAAAGGCGACTGTTCTTGTCTGCCTCTAGGTTCAGCACCAGTTAAGAGAAAATGCACCACCCCTTTTTCAAGAGGACACAGATCTCTGGCTTTGCACTTTAGAGTTCTTTTCACATCCTCGGTCTTCCAGATGAAAAACCCTTTGCAATCTTTTGACATCGTAATTGCTTGGAACAAAAACTTGATGCATTTTCCTTAAAAAAAAAAAAAACTCAAGGTGTTTTTATATACATATATATACACACACACAGTGAAAACTTCTTGCGTTTCCTCAATCCTGTGCCAACGTTTAGAATGGCTATATCGAAGCGTGCAGTGTCTCTTATTTTGTACACCAGGCCTTAATAAAATTAAATAATACACAACAACACAAAAGGCCGTATTTAAAATAAAACATTAATGCTGAAAAGAATATTGCCACATCTGGGCATAGTCCCCGTGTACAAAAAAGCACCAAGAATCGATTGATTTGTTTGTTGTTGATCTTCAGGATGGTATAAATAACATTAGGCACAAGTCTGGAGTTAGAGAGTAGCACCATGTGTTTGATTTCAGGGTCTGTCTCAACATGTTCACACAGAGCCCCTGTACACTGTTAGACTACGATTTCTCTGGAATTAAATAATGAACCCCCCCCGCCCCCCCAACAACATTAATAACAAAAAATACACGATAAATAGAACATCTAAATTATTCACAATTATACAGTCTAAGGAGGAAAGCTCCATTCACAGTACAATGCTTTTTTTCTCTACAAAATCTTCTAAAAAGGATCAAACATAAGAAAAAGGTGTAAGTTCCCCAGTAGTTTCTTTCAGTGAGTGTGTCCGCCCAGGCAGGACTGCGAGTGTGTGTGCGTGCAGGCAGGGCTGACTGCAGTGATCGAGGGGTGCAGCACCCCTTGACACGCGACCTGTTCAGGCCTTCTTTTTACGAAGGAAAACATCCACGTTTGTCACAAAAGACAAATACAGCTGCTTTCTGAAGGGGATCCCAACAGACACCCGCGAAAAAGACATCCCCTGAAAGAACCGCCAGATAAACTCCTGAACAGGCCGTGTGTAGGGTGGAGCGCGAGATAGCCTCTTCCCCTGGGAGAGTCTGGATTTCATTCAGAGTTCTTGATTGAATTATTGACCAAACAGCCTTCAAACCCCAACCCACCCACACAGTCTCAATCAAGACCCTACTGTCCTTTGGATCCTGGCCAAACTAGGCAGCCTTGGTCAGGCATGTTCCCACTTGGGATACAGATCCTTTCTGACTGGTTCCGGATTAACCAGTTTACAACAGGAGTCAAGATCTATTATCTCTTGTGTGGGATTCAAGGTCATACTGAAGAAACATCCAACTGGGCTTGTGCAATCAGTCTTTAAACTCGAGTCTTTGCAAAAAAAAATGCTAATTACATCCAACGATGCAAGGAGATTTAAAATTGTTCAAGTGAAAATGCTCTACATTCTCTTAATAAAAGTTCTGAACCTTATGTTTTCAGAACCGTATTCATGCACATTCCTCTTTCAGATTTTATTGCTTTTGTGGATTAAAAACCACCAGGTCAATTTGGGAGGATTTAGAGAACCAGTCCAGCAAATGGAAACATGCCACTACACCCCAGCAGTACTGGAAAAATAGATTCAACACACTGTCCCCCAACACTTCAGGTTAGATTAACAGCTCATTCAGTGTTTAAGAAGATTGATGTTTAGCTAAATGAAACTACTAACACAAATACAACACCGCCTATCAGAACTATGAGCAGTAATAGCCATACTAAACAGAAAGCAATGCATTTAAGTTACAACCATAATCGACATCAAAGCAAAAGTGGTAAATTGTCTCCAAAGCTTTCCGGCCAGAAACCACCCCTGCCAGTGGGCTGGGATCCAGTGCCACTATCGGTCACACACACGGCGCATGTCTGGACCAGGGCACACCTCCTGCAGTCAGCCGTGCCTGGTGTGCAGCTGTGCGCGAGTGCGAGAGTGTATTTACAAGAACAAAGTGCAGCCAGCACGAGACAGGAGAGCACGGCTGACAGGCCTAGCAACTCTCCTGTCCACTCGCCCAGGATGCTGGGTATTGTTAACTGTCTACCCGCCTTTTGTTAGGAGAAATGAAGGAGCATCTAGATGGGTTGGAATTCTGTTTGTTTAAAAAACAAAACTGCTTAACAAGCCATCAGGCACTGGCTGGTGTAGAAATCTGACTCTGACCTGGGGACACTGCTCCTGATCCGGCTTGAGGGAATTTTAAACGGACACCTGCTGCAGTACGTGACACCTCAGCAATAGCTGAAAGGTGAGATAACATCAAGAATAGCCACTGGGCCATAAGGGGAATGGTCACTCTTAAACCCCCCATTCATGGCCAACAAGGTGGCTGGACTCCGACTACAAAATCCTCTGTAACACTGCTGCAATTCAGGGCAGTGTGGGAAGTACACCTGGAGTGCATCTCCTTCAGTGTTCTTTGGAAGTGGACGTTTCTGTAACAAAACTCATCTCAAACCTTTACTGCACTGCAACTCCTTGCATCCCTACGCTGGAGAGACAGAGACTGTTAACTCCTGTCCAGGAGAGATGCCGGGGTGCCTGCTATTTAAACACCCAGTACGAAGACGGGGCCTCTCGGCCTCCTGCCGACAGCTGACTGCACTGTTGCTCAGGCAGAGACGGGGTTTTCGTTAGGAACCAACTAAAACACCTTGGTAAGGACTGGGGGAACTCCGAGCTGCTCCATGACCACTTCCATCCCATTAACGCCACAGCAGGCTTTGTAACAGAAACCCACTTAATTATTTAGAGGCATCTGGCAAGTAAATAATTAAGGAGCCCATTGCAACAAAGCCCTTTCGTAGACAAAATGGGAAGAGCAGCTTGCCCAAGCCCACATCTCTCGAGTCCTTCACATTGACTTCCGTTTTGTCCCATCTCTTTCCAATGTCTTTTTTTTCCTCTCGGAGAAATTCAACGCATTTCTCTGCCGCCAGCACGCAGAGCCAGTAGGTCTTCTCCTTCTAAAGCAATGCAAGTGGATGAGAGAGTTTGGAAAGAGGAGGCAGGTCTCTGTCGTTGTGCATTTGTGTCTGCAGACGCAGAGACCAGCCCCTTGCGTGTGCGCGCGAGACTTCAGTGTTTACAGAGTGGGTGGGGGAGCACTAACTAGCTGAAGAGATAGGAAGGGACAGAGACTCGACGCAGCTTAAACAGCAGCTTTGGACACTTTCCTCTCCAGCCCCTCTGCTCTACAGAGCTTTTCCCTCTGCGCGCTATCTCCACAGCAGTGTTGCTCTCAGTGGAAGATGCAGACAAAACTCCCTCAGGGAACAAATAAACTAGACAATCTGGCACTAAGACCCTAAAGGCCCCATTTCTTAAATAATTATTAAAGGTGCACCTTGGCATATCATTGGTTAAGATGCATGTGACACATAAGAGTCTGTTCAGTCAGTCTTCGTGAATCTTTATTAGTAACTGAACAGCTAGGTTTTTCACTTCATTTGAGCTGAAGCACGCATGTGAAACACCCAGTGACCAGCAGGGGACAGTCTTTCACTAAGAATTCCTGATTGCAGAATTACACACCCACCTCTTCCATCCCCTCGGTCTTCCAAATTCTCAGCTGGGTGCATATTCTTGTACATTAGACTTAAAACAACACAATTAGGTCTTCACGAAAGTCTTACTAAAGGATGAAGATAACCTAACATTTAATAAAGATACAATATATTTGGATTATTTAATTACAAAATGACCCAACAGTAAATACTCTTGCGTCAGTGTATGTGAACCCTTAAGATTCAAGCACTGCCATTTGCATCAGTAGAACTTATGTCTTTGTGTTATATGTTAAATCAGGCTATCTACATCTTTTAAGACTTTTAACAAAGATTTAATTAGGTTTTAGGTCTAAAGAACACAAACCTAAGAGATTCACAAACATTTCTAAGCTCTGCAGACAAACCACCGAGACTCCTACTTAATATACAGCCACCAGTTTAAAAACAATGAACTTGAAAAAACCTATCAATTAAAAATCTTTATTTGGTTGGTAAGGTTATAAACTTACACTATTCACAAATTTTCCCCAGTGCACTATATTAAGTTATATTCAGTGAGTTTCAGAAAGGCTATGTGCAGGTGACAGCTCATGGAGCAAGGCTAATTCCTTTTTAATGGGGCTGTCCATTATTCAGCACTTCAAACAGTTTTCTCCCTCCGAAATAAAATTTGCATGGGACAACCTGTGACAGAAGTCCTTTAACTGCAAGGTGCTTCTGGTGTTATCTCCTTCATCTGAAGTATGCACGGCTTGTCATTCATTAATTATGTGGAAAAAATAGCCAAACCGATGATGTAGAAGATATTTGCAGTATATAGGCTGAAGAGTCTAGAGCTCAGTGTCCACAGGTCAGATTTAAATCTTCCCAAGCACTCATTACATAGTGGACAATTCTTTAGAGTTGATGTGCAAATGTGGACAATATAAATGCACATGCTGCTACCCAAAAATGAATATGATGCACATCCACATATGATATGCAGTGCTGATGCACAGAAAATCTCATGCAGTTGAGCAATTTCAATATTCCTCCTCCCCATCACCAGATATCGATAGTGAAAACAAACATGAATCGAGTAGCATAAAGAAACGCTGCCAATCTCACTTTGGGAATTTATTCCACAGGTTCGCTCTTGTGTTAAGTGAATCAGTCTAAAGTGTGGTTGAGGAGACAGATGTTTAAAAAATTCTCTTTAAAGCAGCATTAGCCCCATTCCATGAGTCACAACTGCTCAACGCTACACTGCTTAAAGAAATTAAATATAAGCAGGCTTAAAACAAAACAAAAAATCCCTCTATGGACTCTAAGAGTGGATTCTTTGGGAGCAATTTATCATGCAGTTGTTCAGTTCACATAGCAAAGCTGAGAAGAGCCTGACGATGGAAAACAGCAGAAACGGGCACTGCAGCTTCCAGGTGGGATTTTGCTAGTACTCTCCTATTAATTTAAACAACTTCTAATTATGGTATTCTCATTATAAATGAGAAATGTGTTTCCTGAAAACTGGTTCAGGGAGTCTTATGCCGAAGAAACACTTTGGTACCACCAGTGCCTCAATTATACTGACTGTGTGAAACACAGAGGAGAGTGATTTTTAATGACTTGCAGTTGCAAGTTCCCATTAATAGGCCACTAAATCAAAAATTTACATATTTTACATATTAATGATAAAAGCAACAAAATAAAAAAAGGGAAATTAAGTTAAGTAAGCAGAAGTGGGTGGTTTTCTTACTGTGCAATAAGCTCTAATCCATTAAATGGCTGTCGAATGGCACACCCCCCCGGAGTAATTCCGTTCATTTCCTAACGGCTTCTCCCAATCCAGAGCCACGGGGGAGCTGGAGCCGGAGCCCATCCCGGCAAGCAACAGGCGCAAGGTGGGATACACCCTGGACAGGACATCACGCCATCACAGGGCACACACACACACAATCATGCCCACACCATGGCTAATTCTTTGGACAAACAGCACCCCCAGGTCTGGAACTAAACCCCCAGGGCTCCAGTGCTATGAGGCAGCATCACTAACCACTGAGTCACTGTGCGGCTCCCCTCTGAGTAATTACAGCACATATTGGAATTACATTGCAGAACTGATCAAATTCAGACTGAACCCCACCCATAAAATCAGGTAAATAAAATGCTGTAAAGGACGAGCAGGAATCAAGGCACTGCCCCCTACAGGAGAAATCAATAAAGCTGCCGGGTGTGTTGGCAACACCTGCCAACAGGGCAGCTTTAAAATCGTAAACTGAGTATCACAACTTCGCTTATTCAACTCTCTATCTGCCTCACGGCACCATGGTAACGCTAGTCTTTTAAGGATCTCCAATAAATATGGTTGCAGTCATCTTGCAGTGCTTGTAATGTTGGCAGTCGCTGTGTTAAGTGGTGATGCACCACCATAATTTGCACAGGCTCTCCACGATGAAATGAACAACTATCACTCCACAGCCAACCAGAGGGAGCAAACTGCTGATCGGAGTGGCTCATCTGATGGGGGACAGTGGGCACATCGGGAGGAGGGGGGAATCAACTACCACGAGTGACCGGCAAATTTAAAACGCTGGAAAAAATAATTACGAATGATTAAAATCAATTTCTAGTCAGGGAAAAGTACTGCAGTGTTGCGATAACTCCCCCTCGCACGGAAAAGGTATCAACAGTAAATTCCGAACTCATTTTAATGTAGGGGCAGACTGAAAAACAGCACGTTTGGAGCCGTCCTTCAGTTCTGGAGACAAAAGGCCTCCCTGCTGCTGGGTACCTACATCGCTGCTGTCCCACTCCACTGAGCTACAGGATTTGCTGCAAAACCTGGGATGGACTTTGTAAACTCACGGGCCCTAACGCCCCACCCACTTTCTGACGCACCCACACGGGGCTGGTCCACCGCCACGTCCCGACCAGAGGACAGTGCTGAGCGCGCGCGTGTGCGTGTGCGTGTCTTGTATGTGCAGCTGCACGTGTTGAGCTCTGTAGTTTTATACCCATGCCGAGAGCAGGGGTCCCCCCCTGCAGACGCGTGAGCACCAGTCAGTGTGAAGACAGACCCTTGGTCCACTCTGTTCCATTGCATAGGTTACACTGGGTTGAGGTAGAATTCTTTAGTTACCTGTTGGGGGAGGGAAAAAACGCTGTTTTAGTGACAAGTTAAAAAAAGCAAGAACTGCACCACAGCTGGTCCCATAGGGACTGTGGTAACATGCTAGCGTGATGCTTAGTCTTGCCAGTAGAGCTGTAAACAAAAGACATTATTTTGGAGGATCCTAGCATGACACAGCAGCTGTATCACTGAGTATATCAGGGTAAAATGGCTCAGGAAACATAGATCAGTCTTCAGAGCCTAGAGCAGAACAGCTAGATTTTAGGTAGTGAACATCTACAAAAAACATCTCAAACACCTCCACCCATCCTGAAAAGAACTCACCTTTTTTTTTTCTCTGTTGAAACGCAGTATTTGGAATAGAGGAGCTGCAGCTCCCTGCTCAGCCTTCTCCTAGTCTCTCAGCCTTAACCACCCAACCCCCCCCTCCCC